GTTTGGTCCTCCTGAGCTCAGTTCTGGGTCCAACTCTGCCACCAGTGAGCATGGGAAGTTAATGTCATTTCTCTGAGCTTCGCTGCTCATCTGCAAAATTAATAAGAACTGGATTAAATTCACACTAAGTTTCTTTCTGGGTCCCTCTAAACTCTGATGGAGAACCATCTCCTCCATGAGAAATGATGCCTTTTCATTAACCTTTGAAGGACTAGTCTATAAAGTTCAGGTCAGCCTCAAGTTCAAGGAAGTGTTTGTGCTATTTCTTACAGAATAAGGAATGAAAGGAAGGGCACATGGCAAGTTGCCACTGTTAAACTGAACATATATAAATGGAAATTTAGCATTTTCTCCTACTAAGACAAATCTGGATCCAAATAGAATTTGAAAAATAGTAAAAAATAGATTCCCACAGAAAACAATGAATCAAAACTAACATCTGTTGGACCTTTTTTTTTTTAAGTGAGGCCGACACCATATTAAACCATGGCCAGGCCTGGTTCATTTGCCTTATTCTTCCTCTTCCAAAAAACAAGTAAAATAAAAATTTTTTAAAAACAACGTTGTAACAGAATGTAAACCAAAACACATCTTTGAAGTTCCCGGCACAGATGGCAGGTCTCAGCTCTCCCATGGTAGATGCTAAGCAAAAAAGTATCTGAGCCACAGGAAGTTGAGAAGACCACAAATATCTCACACCACAGAAATGGTCCAAAACTGCCACTGACAAATATGAACAACATTAAACTGATGCATCTTTCTGAAGCAGCCCATTTCTGGGCCTTCTGAGGGAGGTCCTTTTAATTTGAACTTGTTGGTAGATTCTTACATATCAGCAGTAGGACATGCTGTCTTGACCTCATGTTTTAGTGAGAGATGGATTTGTGTTGCTTTTTTTAATGTCTACCACCTGGTTCACCAGGTGACTTGTAACAGGCATTTGTAAGAAATCTTCCCGAAGTCTGGAGTCATGTCAAGAAATTCTTTTGACCTGGACATGTAGTGAGAAATACATTTTACATTGTTACCCAGAACAAATGCAGGCTGCTTGCATGCATGGACACACTATAACCACAGGCACTCAGAGTTCCCCAGAGAACCAAACTTTCTCTGATCTCGTTTGTGTTTGGGCCTGTATACTAGTTCCTTCTGCCCAGATCCCTATTTGTACCAGTCTCTCTCCTTGCCTTAGCTCTCTAGGTGATGCTCAGTCATCACTCAGCCTAAGAAGCCTGCCCCTCTATGCTGGGTCCCAAGTTTTTGTCCCTTCACAGCAGTAATACAAACTACATAAACACATACAGAAAAGATGAGTGAACCATGCAAGAACTGAATCTTGAATGGCATAATTTATGTTGGAGCATTGCAAAATTTTTAAGCAAAATGGCACTGTAAGAATTATCAAGAGCCGTGGTTGCCAACTTAAGTTCATTATATGTCACTTAAGCCACAGTTTGTATCTAAATACTGTGGTTCAGTGTTATAGAGAGTCCAGGGGAAAAGTGTGTGTTTATTTGTGATAAAATCAAACAAGCCAATAAAATCATCTGGTTTTTTAATATAATATTTATTAGAAAAATATAGGAAGCTCATTGATTATTACTTGAATTAGTACTATTTTCTTTTTTCAGTAAGTCTCCCAAATCCTGAGAGAGCTAATTTTTAAAGGACTTGGTGGCTTTAAAAAATATTTTGGGCTCATTGATTTAGCTCAATCCCTTAAATTTTTCAGGCCTGGAAACTGAGCTCCTGAGAAAGTAGGTAACCTTCCAAAGGCCATCTAATATGTAAGGGTGCAAGTAGTATGAATGATCATAGCTTACAACACAGCATTCCTATCAAAGGCACACAGACAGTTTATCTTATCAATATGGTGTGAGGGTAATGCATTATCTGGAATCTCTGTCAACAGTCAAGTATTACAATCCAGCACACATGAATCAAGATCTATTGTAACATGTACAAGATTCATTAGAAACTACAAAAATGAACTGTACATAATCCTTGACCTGAAGCCTCACATTCATTCTCTTATTGAACCCAGACCACACAATTCCCTCAGGGTAAATGCCACATCATTCCCATTTTCTAGGTGAGAATCTCCTATTGCTGATAACATGCAAAACAGTGATTCAGAGCCTGATCTCCATCATTGCCATATATTGTACAGGTACTTTGAGAATTTAGAGAAAGAAAGGATTGATGCTGGCTAGGAGATTTGTGTAAGATTTTTTAGAGAATCTAGGGTTTGAAGCCTGAGATGAATTTCAACAAAAAGATATTCAACACAAAGACTGTCTAAGGCCGAGGGAACCAAAGCTCAAAAGAAGAAAAGTGGAAGGAAAGTTCTAGACCTAGTACTTGGAGGATGTAGCTGTGGTCAGAGGACCTTGAATGCCATTCCAGGAACCCAGTGGTTTCCAAGGGGTGTTGCACAGAGTGCAGTTTCTGTAGAATGTTAGCAGAGTTTATACGCAGTGTTGTATGGGCAAACAGGTTTGGAAAATGCTGGATTAAGAAAGTTCTTTTCTGCAGGACTTTTCAGAGCCTGAATGGACTAATGGGCATCACAAACATCCCAGAAAAAGATACAATTCCCACAGAATTTCCCAGATTTATTTGATCACAGAATATCCAATTGTTTTTCCCTTTCTTAAAAAGCAGCTGATGGACTAATGGTCCACAGACCATTCTTTGAAAAATAAGGTTATTTATGTTGGGAAATACCAACAACATTGCTGAACCTTAAGAAAATTGACTTGACAGCAGTGGGAAAGGCTTTTGTAAAAAACAAATATTTTGGACACAATTTAGAAATACTAGACACAGATTAGGTTTTAGATGGTTTTAAGGAATTATGGTTAATTTTGTATGTTATAACAGCATTGTAGTTATTGCTTTTAAAAATTTGTATAGTTTAGATAAATACTGAAGTATTTATGGGTGAAATGATACATTAAAAGAATGCAGCTTTAAAAAAGAAAATAAGAATGGCAAAATGTTGATAAGGTTGATCAGTTATATTATTTTCTTGGCTTTTGTGTATGTTAGCATAGCTCCATAATAAAGTTAAAAATAAAACCAACATGAGAGAAATTGAGACTATTTCTTCATTATCTTAAGTTGGGGTCTTCATCTTCTTAGGTTGGGTTCCCTGGCAAACTGGTTCTGAGGAAGAAATTTGCGTGCAGTGTCCTCGAGATGAAGCCTTGTGATAGACTGCACCTAGGCCCGAGGAAATGCTGAGCTGCGATGCAGTGACCACAAAGGCCTTAGCAGCTCCCAACTGGAATGAGCCCTCGCGTCACCCAATGTCAGGGGACCAGGCCTCTAGCCACCAATCCCTGTCCTCTGATCCACATACACATATTGATCAGTCACTGGATTGTGAGATACTGTAGAGAGCAGGCCTGACGAAGGATAAGACACAATTTGGCTGCCAGTTCCCAGAGAAGGACCCCAGAAGTCAGGACCGAGAGCTTTCAGCAGCTGAGACAGTGAGAGCCTCAGTCCTGAAGGGGAAATCTGGGCAGCACCCCATGGCAGCTGTCACACTGTCCAGCTCTTTGTCCTTAAACACTCACAATGATGGCATCTTCCCACATGTCCTTTGCAGTTGGTGAGTGTGTGCTGTTTTGTTGACTCTTTTATAAAATAGTGGCATATTTGCATTAAGAGGGCATGTGTTGACAAGAAATTGATCTATTGCTTTAAATTCATCTTGCAAATGGTTTTCATTGAAATAGCAGCAAACTAATGTCCTTTTAAAACTTTATTAAGATCATCTGGATATACTCAACCTAATAAAAGCAGAGTACATGGCTGCTGGACTTCCTGTAGCTTTAGATATGGAGCAAAAAGGGGCTTAAGTGATACCCTACATTTGAAATTGTGTAGAAAGATTTGTTCCTTGTCTGAGAGAACCTGCCCTTTGTGAAATCCATTCATAAACAGGACCCCTGCTCCGCGTCCCTTGGTGTGGCTCTTTCACGTCTTTGGCCTTCTGCTGGACTTGGTCTCTTCTCTTCCTGTGTGTTTATATACATCAGTGCTGTTTTACTGGGGCCGCTGCCTTTTCTTCTTCAGTCTAATACATTTCATCTCTCTTCTCAAGAAAGGCCAATTCTGAAGTGAACATTTGCAAATAGCTGTATAACCCCCAGCTTAAGAGTCATTTCTGTTTTCTCTTCCAAAAAGGCAAGTTGTGCCTTCATCATAATTGGATGCTACTTAACCTAGCCATTTTAATGATTACTTATAAATGGGAATGCTGGGAGGGATGGGGCAGCCATAGTTAATTAGGTCACTCGGGTGGCCAAGGGTCTTTCTGGGACACTGTGAGCTTACAGAAGCTTTTGGCAAAAAGGGATCACATAATTTGCACCCTATTGTTGAGTTACTTCAGAAAAACCTGTCACTACAATTCATTAAGAATGTAAATTCACACAAAACAATTCTCCCCCTAACCCCCAAATCCAGCATGCAACCTCAATTATATATGATTCCAGGGCTCTGAAATGAAAAGGAAAACACTGTGAGGTAAAACAACTCTGCAACAGGGAACTAGAAGGAAGTCTCGAATAGCATTACTGGAGCCAACATACCTAGCTTAACATCACTTTTGAATCTATAGCCATGTGCATTATAAAGATGAATAGTTTGCCTTTTAAAAACTAATGTCCCAGAGCTCTTAACTACCATTGTTTCTTTGTGAAATGGAGTATGCAAAAGTCTTTTAAAAATGCAGCTTCTTGGTGAATAGACTGCTTCTCCTCCTTTGGCTTGCCCTGAGTTGGAAAGGCCCCTAAAGGAGTGTTAAGCAAAAGAGCAAACAGTTATAAAAGTGCCAACCAGACTCACAGGCGCACGGAGATGGATGGAGCCAGTGAGCAAGACCAATTTTCATCCTCATGTGAAACAAATAAAATATCTCATCTTCTATTTTCTTTTCTTGATCTCTTAAAACTGTAAAGGCTCATTGCTGTATTCTTGGTTTACAGATTGAGTTTTAAACAAAGAAGTCTCCTTTTGAAGACTAAAGTTAAGAAGAGCTAAGCTAAGGAAGACGGGAACTAGCCTGGGAGCTCTGTAAATTTTCAGGTAAATGTTATGTCTGGTGTAGATACTCAGATAAGCAAACCTCATGGGGCCTTGGATCAATTTAATTTTGATGAATGACTGGTTTGGTAACTATTATTTACATTGTTACTGCACAAGTCGGATACATTCCATTCATGTTTGAATAACCCACATAGTCTGCTATGGAATAGCCTCTCAAGTAATCCCCACAGGCCAGCTTTCTCCACTGTTAACTCACAATTAGAAGGATAATTAGTAATGAGGGCATTTTACTTTTGAACTAAAAATGAAAACATGAGTGAATAGCTCAATAATCTAGAATTGCAGCAGTTCTTGAAACATAAGACCTCAAAATTATATTCTCAGTGATCTACAAAGAAGGTAATATTATTAAATTTTGCTTCTGCTTTTTTTTTATAATGGCATTGTTTATCAAATATTATAGGATTTGAAAAGAAAAAAGAAATTTGAGCATAGTCCTAACCCAGTTCAGCACACTGTTTTTATTGATCTGCATTTTCTCTTACTTTTTATCCACATGCATTTATTTATTCATTGGTGTTTCATTCTGTTAGTGTTTATTAATCACTAATTTGTGTCAGTCAGTGGTTTAAGCTAGATCAGCAGTCATTTTCTATCATGAGCCACATAGTAAAAAATTTAAGTTTTGAGGGCCACCGAGTCTGTCACAGCTATTCAAATCGGCCATTGTAGGACAAGGGCAGCTGCAGACAATATGTAAACAAACAGCCCTGGTAGTGTCCCAATAAAATTTTGTTTAAAAAACAGGCAGCAGGTTGGATTTGGCCAGCTGGACACAGTTTGCCAAACCCTGCCACAGGCCTTGGGACTATAAAGACGGAAAAAAATAGACAAAGTCCCATTGAACATACATTGCACTTAGCGGGTAGATAATAAATAGCAAAAGAAATATTTGAGAGAGTAATTAGCACAATGGAGGAAACATGTATTTCTCATTTTAGAATTGTAGTATATCTTCAGTTTGGCATTCTCCTTTACACAGCGTCAGGTTGAAATAGTTTCTGTGTAGCTGCACAATCTTCATATTAACTGAAGCTCCCCGCTTCTCTACTCTGTGATTCGCCTGAGGAGTAACGGTGTTCTGCTCTGATCTTCCAGATAATAAGCATACCTGGGACAGGGACAGGGTCCCCGCCTTGCTCGCCCCCTCTCTGTCCCTGATGTGAGGCAGAAGAGCGGTTTTGATGTGCACATACACAGGTTTCCTTGGGTTAGGTGAGCCACTTTCTAGATTTGGCAGTGGTGGACAGAATAGCCAATCCCTGTTCTTAAATTCAGTGATATCAGCAATGAACTAATATTCTCATCTCCCTTGGTTTGACTTCTGTATCTACTTTTGCAAATTTTGGTTTCTAACTTAGATAAAAAAGGATGTGATCAATTCTCATCTTCTAACATAATATAGGTATGAATAATGGCAGTAGTAAAAAGTAGCTAACAACAATTAGGATGCAGCAGGCATTGTGCTAAGTGCTTTAGAAATGTACTATCTCTGAATCTTTACCATGATTCCAAACAACTAAGTAGCACATATTATGGAAGACAAAAAAAGGGATTAAATTTTAGATTGTCAAATAGGCTTCTAACAAATAAAAGGGTAATGACTATTTTTTTGGCTCTATGACATATTAATAGGCAAACCCAACACTTGATTGCAGTAGTCTTTGGTGTTAGCATCAAATCATTTTGGCTCTTGCAGAGTCATTCACAACAGTTGATATTTAATATTGTGTGAAAGTCAAAATAACTCAGTGGTACTGGCCAGCAAATAGCAAAAGATTAGGTTAAGACATTTCACCTGAAAATCTCTTTGATCTGTTCACTTCTTCCTATCTTCCTTGGTGTTGCCTAGACTAGCCACCATCATCTTTCCCTGGTGCTACTGAAACAGCCCCATATGGTCAACCATATATATTCCTGTCCATGTCAAATGTCTTCTCCTTAATGTAGAAGCATGATCTTGCTAAAAGTTACTCTCCTGACTCAGACATCTAATATCTTCCAATTGTGCTTAGGATGAAGTCCAAAATTTTTAACACACTCTTCAAAGCTCTGTAAGGTCCCGCACTATCTCCTCCCTCAACAATTTCTGCATCCCATCTGTGCTGGTCTGGTTCAATTCCTTGGCTGTCCCCTACTGCTTCCTGACCTACTTATTGTTCCCTTTCCTAAAATATCCTTTCCTATCCCAGTGTTCTCATCCACAAGCATACTTGCCTTTCAGGTTTCAGCTTAAATGTTGCTTTCTTAGAATTTCTCTCCTGCCAGCCCAGAGTAGTGGGTCTTCCGGGTAGAGGTCCTTCTATTATCCAGCTTCTATACTTCATAGGACTTGTCTAAATTTGTATTTATTTGTTTTTTGTCTACCTAAAAGTTCCATGGGGGGAGGGCAAGATCCAAATCTGTCTTGCTCATTGCTCTATTCTCAGTGCCCAGCACAGTGCCTGGCACATACTCATCCATTATATATTGTTGAATCAGGGCCACTCAGTGTGGTTGCACAGGCTGTGTACTGCCCAATTCCAGGGGCACCATCCACACAGACAGTGATATCAGTGGTACTATCTGGAGATGTTCATTCACCGCACCAGCCTGTATTGAATGAAAGAATGAATACATAAGTGGATGAGTAAATGAAACCATTGGTACTGAATTGTCTTATTCAGGAAAATTGTATTTGCTATCTGCTGTTTCCCAAAAGGTATAAAATCCCTTGTGACTATATATGCCTTTTATATATGTCACATAGAAGCCGTTATTTTGGCATTTTATGGGTTCCAAATGGAATTTCTGGCCCTTGTTTGAATTTTGCATACACTTTTTCGTAATCTTGAACTTGGTCCACAACCCTCCAGGTGCTAATATAAAGTCCCACTTTGGCTTTTTAATTATACAGAGACCTCATTTTTGACTTGCAGGTGAAAAAGAGCTGAAGCTGCATTCCACTTGGGAGTTGAAGTATATTTTTATTCAGCAGGGCTCCTGAGTAATATCTGCAATGTATTAAAATATGCAGGCAAAATATATACAATTATTGGGAGGAAAAAAGTGACAGCCAGAAGGTTATAGACCATGGTGCTGAGAGCTGGATTAGCTGGCACACGGGACTTTAAATAACTGAATCTCTTTTGGAAATAATAAATCTTGGTTATGATGTCAGTCTCCAAGTCTTGCCACACATCTGCATTCTGTTTATGACCCCAGGCTTCCCTGAGAAACCTGAGTCATATTATTCCTAAAACAAACTTATAAAGGACAACATCTTAAAAAATAAGATGGGAATCCTTTTATATGCATTTGGATTGGGTAACTGATAGCTTCTTAGGACCAAGAATTGCTATATCATCCCAGTAGTGTCACCATTTCACCTTGCTACTCATATGTCTACACTCCCCAGAGAGGGTGTAAACTCCCCAGAGACAAGACCCATGCCTTGAACTTGTTTTTATATCTAGCCAGTTGACACTGCTTTGCACATACAGGGCTAGCATGCAGGTCTTGATAGTCATGGGATGACTGAATGAAATTACTAAACCAAATGGTTTAATTAATCCATACTTAAATTTTACAACACTCTCAAAGCATCACTACATTGATTTTTCAAAGAGCAGAACATTGACTTGGGCTAGTTTCTCATCTGAAGTTAACCCATCTCTGATGTGTCATTCATAAGCCCCTTCAGGAATGAAGGACTTTCCTAGCTTCTGGGAGTGTTGCCAGAAAGCAACACTTGGTTGTCTTTCCCAAAGGGGAAAAGACTGTTGAGGAGAGCTGCCTTGTCTTCCAGGGGTGGCCTCAGCCAACAACTGGCCGATACCAGTGCATAAAGGCTGGGTCCTTCTCCTCAACTCAGGGCAGTGCTGCAGGACCACCTCAACCCCAGAGCGTCCCATGGAGTCAGCTGAGGCCTTTGCTGGGAAGGCACCCCAGCCCAGCTTCTTCTTCCCTCTGTCCCTTCTTCTTCTGTACCACTGCCATCCACAGGTGTTGATACCCAGAGCATGTCTTAACAAACGTCCTCAATGCTAATATTTGCCCCAGAGTTAGCTTACCACAGCACATACCCTATAACCCCTGCCTCTATTTCAACAGCATTAAACACAGAGGAATCAATCCAAGGACTACCCCTGACCCACAGAACTATCTAGTAACAAATTACATTATTATTTGAGAAAGCTACTGCATCCCGGGAGCCACTACAGCGGAGAGTTGGATTCACACTATTTGTGGAACATGACAGAAAGATTCTCATAGCCAGGAGCAATACGCAGTGTTTCCCTGCACTGCATGAGAATGCTGTTCTCTGAACATAGGAATTTAGGAAGTCATGGTGGTATAACAAACACACACTCAATTATGGGCAGTGTCAAAAGCTCTTGCATTTTTTAATTGACCCCAAAAAACTTTAATGCCTGGTTGTTGTTTGTTTATATCTAATTCCCCAAAATATGCACTAATAAGACATCTCTTTAAGACATCTCTGAGACCTAAAGGATTAAAATGTCATACATTTTCCCTTATAACTATATTAGAATGAAATACTACTATTGAGGGCACTCTAGTGTATTTACTGATCTGTTATAACTATCGATGAGGCTTTTGTACAGGAGTCAGCAAACTACAGGGTCTGGGAGAAATTCAGCCCACCATGGGCAGAATCCAGCCACATCCATTCATTTACAGATAATCTGTGGCTGTTTTCATACTACAGTGGTAGAACTGAATAGTTGTGACAGAGACCACATGACTCACAACATCTAACATACTTAAAATGTGGCCCTTCACAGAAAGAGTTTGCTGACCTCTTTGTATAGTGACATTTAGTGATCTCAATATAGTATTAAATGAAGTAATAAAATTTTGTGGAAGGAAACTAACACTCTATGTCTGTACACACATGCACGCATACACACATATGCGCGCACACACACACACACACAAAAGTTATCTCTGGTCATTGAGATTAGAAGTGAATTTTT